TAGGAGACCCTGTCTCAAAACGCAAACAAGTTGTGTGTGGTGCTGAGGGCAGGACTCTGTATACGCTACCACAGTCCCCGGTTTTTTAGAACAAGGCTTTATTACCCGAGTCCGGCCTTGAACTCACACCCTGATTTCACCCTCAAGGACTGTGGTTACAGGCTCGTGCCGCCATCTCCCCAGTAATTCCTTACTTGTTTGCGTTTTGAGACAGGGTCTCCTACTACGAAGTCTTAGCTGGCCTGTAGCTCATTACATGCGCCATTCTGGCTTTGAGCTTGTGGTGACCCCCGACTCTCCCAGAGTTCAGGATTATAAACTCATGTTGCTAGACCTGGCGATATGATTCTTCTCTTTCTCGTTTTCCTTTCTTTCCCAGCCAATTTCTTAAAATGTTACTGATATTCAGTACTATGCTTATAAATCTTATGTATTCATTTATTTTACATCCTGAACGCAGCTTCCCCTCCCTCCTCTCCCCCAAGTCCACTACCCCCCTCCCCCTCCATCTACTCTTGATTTCTTTCTCTTCAGAAAAAAAGGGCAAGCAACCCTCGGACATCAGCCAGTCATGGTAGATCAAGTTACAGTAAGGCTAGGCACCTCCTCTTTAAAGTCTGGTGAGGCAATCCAGTAGGAGGAAAAGGGTCCCCAAAGCAGGCAACAGAGTCAGAGGCATCCCCTGCTTCCACTGTTAGGAGACCCACAAGAAGACCAAGCTACACAATTGTAACATATATGTAGAGGACCTAAGTCTGTCTCACGCAGGCTCCGTGGTTGTCGGTTCGGTCTCTATGAGCTCCGGAGTCCAGATTAGTTGATTCTATGGGGTTTCCTGGGATATCCTTGACCCCTCTAGCTTCTACAATTTTTTCTTCCCCTCTTCTGCAGGATTCCCCAGGCTCTGCCTAATGCTTGGCTGTAGGTCTTCATCTGTTTCTATTGGCTGCTGGATGAAGCCTCTCTGATGACAGTTGGGTTAGACCCTAATCTATGAGTATAGAAGAATATATTTAGGGATCATTTCATTGACTTTAATTTTTTTTTTTTTGCCAGTAATGTTATCCTGGGTCTCTGGGTCATCCTGGCCCTCCAGACAGTGTCAGGGGTGAGCTTCCTCTCATGGTACGGGTCTCAAGCAGAACCAGTCATCTGTTGACCACTTCCGTAATTCCTGTGCCACCTTTCCCCCACCATATCAGGTAGGTAGGACAAATTGCAGGTCGAGGGTTTTGTGGCTGGCTTGGGCATCCCAATCCGTCCACTGGAAGGGCAAGAGGATTCTGCAATAGAATGCAAAGGTAACCAAGACTGAGGATTTTGTTTATTTGACATATTAAAGTGGATGAAGCTCTGTGTTAAACCCGTTGCTTAGATCTTATTTTCAATCATAGTAATACACCTGGAAGTTTTGAAAGTGATTTGTATTACATTTATTTGTGTTGGGGCTGGTGTGTGTGCACCTATACATGCACATGGCCTATGGTGTGTGTGTGTGTGTGTGTGTGTGTGTGTGCACGCCTATACATGTACATGGTCTATGGTATGTGTGTGTAAATCAGAGGACAGCTTGCAGGACTCAGTTCTCTCCCTACCATGCAGGTACCAGGGATCACACTCAACTCCACTACGCTGTATGTTTCTGCAGATTGGTAAGGGAAGCCTGATTGTAAGGAGAGATAAAGCCTTTCCACACAGCATGGGGAAGGTGGGCAACATCGGATCTGGTGTCTGTGCCTCTGGTTGCTCACCCGGTGTCTGCCTGCCTTGCAGTGCTCTGAGTAACCAGCCCTGGCAGCCTTACCCTCCTCTCCTGGGGTGTTCTCCTTCGAGGTTTCAATGCTATGTTTGTTAATCGTGATGTTTTCGGGGACTCTTTGTTCTCTGCTCGCTAGCGTCCCTTTTTGGCTCGCCCCTCCCCCCACCCCTCTAAAAATCACTTCCTACATTCTCTCCCTCATCCCATCTGCTCGTTCAGGGAGAGACTAGGATTGGAGGAAACCAATGGGGGCTGGGGGCTGGATGGTGGGAAGGATGGCATTCCATGCCAGGTTTCGCAGCTCCGGGTCGCTAGCCGACTTGCGAATGTTACCCAGGTTGGATAGATGAATAAAAACATTTTGAAAGTACATGTTGCTGTCACGGTTAAGCAATCCAAGGTTTATAAGGTTCGATCAGTGGTCGTCCGAGTCCTGAAATCTCGAGAGGAGTCTCCCTGTTGGCAGAGCAACCTCTGCGTCCGTGTCATGAGCCCAAACTGCAAGAAGAAACAAAACCTTTCTGTTTGGTTCTTTTATCGAGTATCGTGGAGCATTTCAACCTCAGGGACGCTCATGGAACCTCCTTTGATGAACAGCTTCCTCAGCAAATTAGTTCAAGTCCTAACCTGTGCAAAAACCACACAGATTCTCAAAGGAAGCATCCTGGTTAACATTCTGGAACTAATGAAACCATGGACCCTTGGTAATACTGGGCCTGCGTCGGTGGCCAGAGAGCTTCTGAGCCTCACTTGGAGGCTGACTCTAGAGTCTCCCCGCTGGGAGCATCTGAAAGTGTGTGTGAATCTGAAATAAACTTTCTGAAATTTCAAAATGCTTCCCCCTTCTCAGACATGCATCTTCGCTTTCTTGCTTTTGGTATTCATGCCATTAATAATAACAACGTCGCTTAAAACATTTAGGGACCAGATAGAACTATGGTAATAACAATTACCAAACATGGTAATAAGACTAAGAATACAGGGACACCTTTGTCCTGAAAGGAGAAAGACATCTCAGAATTTATTTATTTTAAGGGAGCTAAACCCCACAGTTCAGGTGTTCAGCTCTGCATGCTTCTTCTAATTGGCCACTGTGCTCTCATGGGGTAAATTCAAATGTTCATCGTGATGGCTAAAAGCCATGGTTGTGGATCAAGCCTACTGATGAGCAGGGAAGAAATGATAGACAGAAATTTATATTATAAAGCCATCACTCTAATAGCTGGTCTAGAGAACCGCGTGGCTTGTGTTTATGTAGGGACAGCGAGAGGAGAAAGATAACGAATGTGGCAAGATTTTGAAAACTGCCAAGTGATCCCTGTCTTCCGTTGTCTTTCACTCTTTTTTGGGGGGGACCCACCAACCAGCTCCCAAATAAACATGCACACAGAGTTTTATTCTTACTTATGAATGCCCAGCCTTAACCTGGCTTATTTCTAGTCAGCTTTTTTTAACTTGTGTTATCCCATCTACCATTCACCTTGGGCTTCTATCTTTCTCTATTTCTGTATAGCTTTCTTCTTTCTCCGTAGCTTGTTGTGTGGCTGGGTGACTGAGCTCCGGTGTCCTCCTCTCCTTGGTCTATCTTGCTCCTTTTTCCTTTCCCCCAGATTTTTCCTATTTTTTCCTCTCTGCCTGCCAGCCCCTGCCTGGTCCGTCATTTCTCCTGCCTCGCTATTGGCTGTTCAGCTCTTTATTGGACCAATCAGGTGCTTTAGACAGGCAAAGTAGCACAGCTTTGCGGAGTTAAACAAATGCAGCAGAAAGAAAAGCAACACACCTTTACACGGTTAAACAAATGTTCCAGAGCATAAACAAATGTAACACACCTTAAAATAAAAACCCATGGCACCCTATAGTTTTATTCCAACTCCTTCAGGGACTCAAAAATGATAAATTATGAGAAAATGGTTGACTAGACATTTTCTGTGGAGCCTGAGTCTGCAAAGTCGGGCTCAGTTTACCAGATCCAATCTGCAAAATGCTCTTCTTCCTAGAAGAAGTAGACAAGGCGACCTCTCATAATTGCCATAATCTTCAGTGTGGGTCACAATCAACACCCTTCAGCTGTAGTCAAATCGATTGTCTGGAGAATAGAGGCAAAGTCAGTTTGCATTCATTCACTGACTAATTGATTTTCCAATCCCTACTGGGTGCCAGCGTATTAGAGGTGCTGTAGAAAAGCTGTGAACAAGACAAACTGAGCCTTGAAAAGGCTCAGAGCTTGAACCACTCAGAGGCGGGGGTCCTTGGTGAGCCCAGAGACAAAGCAAGGAACCTCGTGAAGGAAGTGAAGTGGATGGCAGATTCCTGAGAGATTCTATGGCCTGAACAGCAAGAATCTCTGAATGAGCAGCACATAAAACGAGCTTAGGATAAGATGCGCACCCCACACAAGCACTCAAGCAGCGAGGCAGGGGTGAAGTAACTGCAGGCAGAGAGAGCAGGGTGAGCAAGGGAGAGAGAAAGGGGCCTCTGGAGGGAGTATAGCCTGGGAGACCCATAGAGGACTCTCAGCAGGTACTCGTAATCCGCAATCGGAGGGATCACCAGGAGATCCCGCTACAGGTGGGAGGGAGTGAAGGCAGAAGAGGCTAAGGCTGAAGCCCCGTAGGGGTGCTGTGGGGTGCACTCAAGGGTCAGGGATGAGGAAGGAGGAAGGAGGAAGGCGGAGACACCCGGATGCATTTTGTACGCGGAAGAAAGATTCACTGATGGGATGGCTCTGAGGCATGAGGGAGTATTTGGAGAAAGAATATGGATGAAGCCGGGTGTGCTGACGCATGCCTATAATCCTGCGCTAGCAACACTGAGTTAGGAGGATGAGAGAGAGAGAGAGAGAGAGAGAGAGAGAGAGAGAGAGAGAGACTCAGTCAGTCAGCGGTCCAGCATCAGTTTCAGCTCTACAAGGAAAATGAGTAAGATATAAAACACCCATAGTGAACTTTTTGTTTTAATTTATTATTATTATTATTATTATTATTATTATTATTATTATTGTTTTGGTTTCTTTTCCTTTCTCACTCCTTGGGAGAGATCTGCTGGGGAAGTAGTCTTAAGTGGGCCAGGCTTCCCCAAAGTATACTAAGTCCCAAAGCAGGCTTTCCTCATCCTTGGTTAAGCAAAAGAGGAGAAAGAGGACCGTGAGAGAAACTGCCAGGTCCTGCATCCTTTTGGTTTGCCTGCCTCACCTTTCTCTTTCCTGATTCCATGCAGAATGGGGCTCCCACTGTACCCCAGGGTGACCTGGATCCTACGATCCTTCTGTCGTTGCACCCAGCCCCTTGTTTTGATCGCTTTCTGGTATGATAGGTTTTTAATGTGTATTTTGGATTTCTAAAGTGATCTGAATTCCAAAGACTGAAATTTTCTCAGTTTAAATTTGCTCGCATTCCCAGAAGCTGGCAGGATTCCTGGATTCTGAAAAATCAAGATAAAATACCTTACCAAAAACATTTGGATACCAGCTCTTGCCAAGAGGACATGTTTACGACGCGCTATCATATTTTACCCTCGTATGTGACTGTGTGCTTCGAGCTCCTTCTGGGTTTAAAAATGAAGGGGAGAAAGGGATAATTGATCCATCCCAGTAATGCAACAAAATGAGCTTTATTTTGAAATCCTTAACTATATGATTACAAAGTCAATGAGAAGCAAGAGTAATCACATTTATGTTTTTTATTTTTATTGCTATTTATTTATTGGTGTGTGGTTTAACCATAAAATATTGTGACTCTGAAAGCCTTCCTAGCCTACTTTTATACCATGGAAACATCCTCTCCCTTCCTAACACCACAGCTCTTAGTATGGCTATGGCAGATCTAGTCCAGAGATTTTTGTTTCCATTCATTTTGGAGCGAGGTGCTCCCACACTAAATGAGGATCGTCTGAAACTCACTGTCTAGCTCTGTCTGGCTTAGAATGTGTGGCAATCGCCCGCCTCAGTCTCTGAGGTACCAGGATTAGCAGCGTGAGCCACCAAGTTCAGCTGAGCCCTCTCTTCCAAGACCCATCTTCCAGTGCTAGGGGGATGCACAGGCTGGTGCGCCCTGAGTTCAAGTCTCCAGCGCCCATTCGAAACAGGGAAGTTGGGCGTGGCTGCTTCTGTGACTGTCACCCCAGCTCTGTGGAAGGCAGGGGGACCAGAAATGCTGGGGATCACCAGCTGCCACTTAGCTCCAGGTTCAATGGCAGACCTTGTCTTGAGGGACTAGGGTAGAGCGTGATAAAGCAGGAAGCCCAGTGTGGTCTCCCCAACTCCTGAAAGCCTGTAGCCTTGGTGTGTATGCGTGCATGCGTGCATGTGTGCATGTGTGCATTCTTGGTGTGTGTGTGAGAGTGTGCGTAAGTGCATATGGATGCCAGAGTTTGGTCTTGTATCTTCCTCTATCACTCTTCCATCTTACTTTTTGAGGTAGGATCTGTCATTGAACCAAGAACCCACCGATTCAGCTAGCAGAGTTGGCCAGTGAGAGTTTTCTGTCTGTTTCTCCGGCACCGGGATTGCAGGTGTACAATGACAAGCCTGGCTTTTTTTTTTTAATGTGGGGGCTGGGGAGCCATCTCTGCTTCTCATGCTTTCTTGGCAAGCATTTGGCTGGCTGAGCAATCTCTGTAGCCCCTAAAGAGCTGTTCAGAGCCATGTCTAAGTTTCAGTTCTCCTGTTCAATGGCTGATTGGTGGAAGAGCCCATATGACAAGGGAATCTATGGTATAGCGTGTTTAGGCCCTTGTCTAATTATGAAATTAGAAGCAGGGTTTTAGCACCTGCTAAACTGCCCTAAACTTCTTTCACTGTGAAGACGAGAATGAGGAACACCTTCATGTGCTCCTGAGTTCCAACAGCCCTGGGATTGGAGGAGTGGCCATCTCAGGTAGTTTCCAGACCATTCTATGCTCTGTGGTGTTTCATTTGCTGTAACATAATTGTTTGCAGGAAAGCAGCAAGGGTAAAAGAATTATTCTCCATTTAGGATTCAGGAAACAGATTCTCGGCACGCGGTAGCAAGTGACTTGATAACATATAACCCCGAACAGGCTTTGCTAACCCGAAGGTGGAGCTACCTTCTACCCTACACCGCCACAGAGCAACAATAACTGCTCTGTGAAGTCAGAAATGTGTTTGACCCTGAATCGTGAAGACAGTCTAGGAGTCTGGCAAGAGAGAGAAAGTCTTATTGCCAAGGCCTGGGAGAGCTGTGCTGGCTCTGCTTCCTCTGGATGGATTTAAGTAAATTCACAGAAGAGCGCGGAGCAGATCCGTGAGACTGAGCCTTCTTATCTGTCCAAACGTTTCTTTCCCCCACGAGAGAGAGAAGGGAGTAGCTGAGCTGAGAAACAACGCCTAAGGAAGCCCTTGGAGCTGTGTAATTCTTGCTTTTACCTGCAGCAGCGGCTGGATGCCAAATTGGATTGAGGCAGCAAAATACATAGGACAGAGGAAGGGGGGTGTCTAGATTCCTCGAGAAGAAGACTCAAGATGAATATGAAAATGTCTGAGTCATCAGGAGGACTAGAGGGAGTTGGAACAGGTTAGATCCAAGTAGTTAAGCCCTAGTGACAACATAGCAAGCTAAAACTCGTTTGATCGGTGTGTTAATGTCTAAAATTATTCTTCAATGGTAAAAGGATGCTTTTAAACAAGAAGCTAACCTTTCTTCATTTGGAAAAATTCTACAGGTTCAATATATATATATATAAAGCCTTCCTTGCGATTATATCTCATGGCACAGCCTTGTTTACCCAAGGAATCCATAAACTCAAAGGGCACACAGGTCAGGCAGGTAAACTGCAGAAGGCAGGGCTTAGAGACACAGGCAGATTTTATACAAATGATGGGACACCAAAGAGTTCCTGGCTAGTCAAATGAGGCCGAGAACTGGCTGTCAACGGATGGCTCTTTCTGATCATGTGACACATTGCCCCCTGGTGGAGATTTCCTCCATTCTGGCTTTGGTTTCAGGGAACAAGGTGACAGCAAATTTCTCGGTGGTGACTTTCCGTCAGGAAGACTGTCCTGCTGGGTGGGAGAATTGCCCACTTCCAATATCCGTGCCAAGGCTGTCTTGGCTTGGCAGCGAAGACCAAAGCGAAACTCAACACTGACATATTCTCTTTAGAGTATTCAAACACAGAAAAATAAACATTCAGTGCGTACATATTTTAATACTAATTGGTACAACACAGACTTATTATAAAGAATTAATTATCAAATAATCAGGGTGTATGTTGGACACAGTTAAAGCAAAGAGTTCCAAAAACACTAGATAAGAGTCTTGGACCATTGTGCCTGCAGGATTGAGTGTCTGGACCATGGTTTAGGCAGGCAGCTGCCCAAATTCCTAACTGGTACTGAAAAAAACCTCAAATTCCATTTTCTCATCTGTAAAATATAGAGATAATAATACTACCTATCCTGCAGGGCTAGAAGGGCACCTTGCCTCCCATATCTCTAGGGCTTGGGAGGTTTCTTGGTTTTGGTTTTGGTTTTTTGAGACAGAGTTTCTCTGTGTAGTCCTGTCCATCCTGGAATTCACTTTTGTAGACCATGCTGGCCTTGAACTCAGAGACCTGCCTTCTCTTCCTGGGATTAAAAGCAGGCGCCACCACTGCCTGGAAGGAAAGGGTTTCCTACCTATGAATTCAGGAAGGTCTGGGTTTGTGATCAGGACAGGCAGGTAGGACTGGCTTATCTGCAGAGCACACCCTGGGCCCCGACTGGGTGTGGTTACTCTGTGACTTCCTCATTCTCTCCTTCAGGGTTGATTTCTTTTTAACTTTGCCTTCCCAGGTCTGGAGCCAAGCACGTGAGAGTACACGACTTTGGGGGATTGGTTTACCCATATTTAGAGCGTATTAAAACTGTGTCCAGTTTACCCATATTTAGATCATATGAAAGCTGTGTCTGCTTAAAGAAGTCTGGATACTTGCTAGAAAATCGCAGGAGTCCGTCAGACAGAACTGCTGTCAAGGGGAACCTTCTAGAGGGTGAAGTGCTTTTCTTTTTCTTTTCTTTTTTTTTTTGTTTAAATTCTTCCCTCAGTGATTACTTTCCAACCAGACTTTCCCCTCCCTACTCTCCTCCAAGTCCCTCCCTTTACCCCTCCCCTTCCCTCTAGGTTCACTGGAAAGTGTCCTACTAGGCTCATATGGCCCCCTTTCTTTTCTAATTTGGAAAGAGAAATAGCAGAAGTTTCCAGAATTCCAAACAGAATTTAAACACTAATTAGAGAGTTATTGGGCCTATGAGTTTGTGTTCATAAATATATAACTGATACGTCATCCAATGAAAAGTATCAGTGCCTGGAGTGAGGGAAACTTTTCCAGAGGACCTGGGTTCAAGTCCCAGCACCCACATAGCTACTCATAACCGTCTGTAATTCCGGTTGCGGAGAATCTGACACCCTCACACAGACATCCATGCAGGCAAAACACCAATGCACATCAAATCAGTAAATTATAAAAATACATAAAGCCATCTACTTTTTTGTCTTCCCTATTTAGACATGAGAATGTAATGAAGAAGAATGAAGCATTGATAAGGAGTAAGATCTAGTCATTAAACATTAGGGAGAAGAAGCGTTTTGTTTCAAAGAGAAGACGCAGGTTGCAGATTAGTATCAGATATGAAGTGAGATGATTAGCCGCATAAATACTCTGCAAATAAATATAATAGCATGTATATCTTCAAATCATTTAGCAGAAAGGCCTGTGTAGTTGTTATTCTAATACTTTGGTCAGAGATAATGGATTCTTTGTTCCTGAACCATCAAGTCCTACTCAGGGTGAAAATTGCTCACACTGGCTTTTCTGTTTGTTTGTTTTGGGTGCCAGTCTAGCTTGGAACTGCTATAGCTGAGGATGACCTTGAACTCCTGATCCTCCTGCCTCTGCCTCTGCAGTCTAGTGTGCTAGGATTAAAGACGTGCCCCCGTGTACGTGGTGTTAGGGGTTGGAATCCAGAGCGTCACCCTTGCTAGCCAAGTATTATCAGTCCTTCACATTCCTTTATAGTTGGGCTTCCCGGGGGATGGTTAGGCTACACACAGCATCTCCAGGCAGCAGCATTAAGTAGAAGCCATTCAGAGAGTGGGGGATGCTTGTCTAGGAGGTAGAGGCAGTAGATGGAACTTGACTATGTGGTCAATCAATCATGACATTTAAAAAGATATGTAAATATTTAGAGCCATAGCGATGTCCTGAAATCTTTGTAACAAAACACCCCCTCCACCCTAAAACAGTACTACAAGCAACACAGCCAGGCACGTATCCGTCACATAAATGTGCTATTTTAATGAAATGGGGAAACGAGAAAAATGCATGATCTTACACAGAAACTCCAAAGTTTTCTGGCTAATATGTACGCTCCAAAGTAAATGACATTAAACCACTGTTGAGAACAGAGATGCGGCCTCCTAATTTAGTCTACACATGAGCAGAAGCTTCGGTATCTTCTGGGAAATTTTTGAAACTATCCATCTTCTCAAATTTTCTGTTTGTACAAGGCTGGCTGCCATTCAGCTCCTGCAGACACAGGCTGCTTACCTGACTCATGCCTGAAGGGCATTTCTGCCTGCTAGAGGAATGCCTCCCAGCCATGCAAACCCACTAACGGCTGCTTGGCAATGGGAAAATAACACGCGGAGATCCTCTACTGACAACTTTAATTAGATCTCAAATCATGGCATGTTTGCACTGCCAATGGTGTGTTCATGTGCGTGGTGGAGAGAAACACATAGGAAAAGAAAAGTGCACACTTTTATAGAACAAAAAGAAAATATTAGTACTCTTACAAGACCTTCTAAGTCGTTCTATGTGGAGAAAAATGCATATAAAACTTAAAACCTTAACTCAATGGTAAATATGCATGGAACTATGGGCTGCAGGTCTATTTCTGCTATTTCTGCTGTGAAATGCAATCCTGAAGTTGGATTTCCAATGTCCTTCACTGACAGGAAGAATGGCTCAATGAAGGTATAGTACCTTAGCTCAGGTGTGCAAAAACTTTCAATCACACAGCACCGTAAAAAAAGGCCTTAGTTCCTGCTGGGCGGTGGTGGCGCACGCCTTTAATCCCAGTACTGGGGAGACAGAGGCAGGCAGATTTCTGTGAGTTCGAGGCCAGCCTGGTCTGCAAGAGCTAGTTCCTGGACAGGCTTCAAAAGCTTCAGAGAAACCCGGTCTCCAAAAACAAAACAACAAACAAACAGTAAAAACCTTTGTTCCCGTGCAAGCGTGGACCTTCCAAAGCCCTTCTGACACCATTCCCCTGACTCGGGATTGTTTGTCCTAGGAGCATCTGCTGTCTTGCCCTTGAACGTTCCTTCATCCCCACTGTTCTGTCCACTCACCCAGCTGGTGTGATCTTCCTGAAGTCTCTCCTATTGACTTGGCATTCGACTAACCGGGGTGTGTCATGTTCCCTGTCACTTTGGAGAGCCCAAGCGTCTGCTCTGAATCATTTACCAGTGTGTTTCATAAGAACGCCTCGCAGCCAATCCTGGGGTCCCCTGCTGGGTAAGTCTCTTTATCCACTCACAAGGGAATGTTCCAGTCAATGTTCTGGCCCACAGCCCAGGGTGGAAAAGTTTCAGCTACCTGAAGAGACCGAATCTGTAAACTTCTGAGGCGACACAACCAGATACTAGAATGCTTACTCTTGGTGCCTTGACTAAAATCAAGGACATAAAAGAGCAGGTGTGCATTTACTATATGATAAAAAAAAACCCACAGTCATTAAATGTTTCCTCCCCTTTTAAGTCAAGAGAGGCCCTTTAAGTGAACTTTTATTGTGAAGAGTAGAAAGAAAACTCAGGTTTTCACGGAGAAGCCAAGGGAGGATCAGATGCCATGGAAGAGGAAAACAGGTTGTTCTCCCGATTCCGACCCACATGTTGGTTCTTGTCCGATGCGTTAGCAACCCACACGGGTGCCCATTTATCTTCATCTCTGGCGTTTTTACAGCTGTTCTTTATCCATTAAATACAGTCCATGGTGAGTTTTGTTTAACCCTTTCCAGAGTGTTTCCAGTGCGGGCTGGAGAGGTGGTTCAGCAGTGAAGAGCACGCGCTGCTCTTGCGGAGGGGACCTGGGTTACATTCCCAGCACCAACATGGTTGCTCACACTCATCTCTACATCCAGCTCCAGGGGATACCCTCTTCTGGCCTCCCAAGCCCTGCACACATAGGGTGCTGCTGCATACATGCAGATAAAATATTCATACACGTAAAATAAATAATATTTCCCCCCCAAACATTATGTGATTATGTGTTACAATTTCATTAGAATACCATTTTTCCCGTAATGAAATAGGATTTAGCCATCAATGCTTTCTACCCACTATGTTGAGTGTGCACACGATTTTAATAGAGTTATGTTCTATGGTCGATCCCAGAGCTTAGAAAGAAGTGAGTCCATGCACCTCCTCCCTCCTCTTTTTAAAAATAAAAACCAAATAAGAACCAGGACAGTCAACTCAGAAGGAGAAGCCAGAGAGGCAGAAATCTCTGAGAAGCCCATGGAGAAGAAAGTTGAAGGAAAGATGGTTGAGTCCGAGTTCCAGGGGCAGCCACAGAAAGGCCACAGTGACCTTGATGACATCTTTGGGGTGCAATAGTAATAAGAAGCACAGCTGTGCAGAGGGTCGGGGTGCTGAGGACAGCAGCAGAAACAGGGGTGCACAACATTTCCCCAAGAAGTTTGGCTGTAAACTCTGAAGTTTAGAGGGTAGACTGAAAGCGTTCATTTCTCAATCAAGGCAACTTGAATATTCTCGGAGGCTAAGAACAAAAGTTGCCAGCCTGCATATCTGGACCCTGAGGAATACGAAGGAGGAGTGTGTGTGGGGTATCAGGAGAATGGAACAGACGTGGAAAGAAAGTGTCTTAGCCAGGGAACATGCACAGAGGAAATAGAAGTGAATCAGAGGTGGAAAATGCAGGAGTTGGCATGCCCAGTTCTTAGCGTTGGTTTTTGAGATCATGGCAAGTTGATCGATCAGCTGAGTGTTTTGGGGTTGAGTGGAGAAGACTGGAAGATGAGATTCCCAAGGGGAAGCCTTTCTGGAATTCTTACAGAGGCACTAGAGACTAGCGACAGGCTTGGATAAGACCTTTAATAAGTGTGATAAAATTTGGGTGAAATACCTCTAAATCATTATTTTATAAGCTGTTGGCTAATTAATCTTAGAAGATCTGAGCATTATAACCATTGTATCAGTGGTTTTAATGTGCAAACTGACCATAAACAATGAATGTCGCTCAACACAAAGTCAGTTTGTTCTCTGCAGTTGGGTTTTATAACTTGATTCACGTGATCCTTGAGAGTGACCTTTAGATGGTAACATTTCCCTATGTCAAAAGGTTGCTCGAAAGCAAGCAGCAATTAATTACACTGTGTTTATCGTGTTTTAACTGTATTGTAAAATATATTGCATATAAGTTGTATATATTTACATAAATAAATGGGATCGCGCTTTTGAATCGGGTCTTTAGTGGTGACAGTAATTCCCAGCGTGCTCCTGGGGTAGAATACGGTTCTGTTCTGGTTTGTTGTTATCTTGGTGACATCCGAAGACTGATTTGGAGGTGTGTGTTTACTCTTTCTTACTGTGATGGCTTCCCGCCAGAGCCGGGGGATCCTTGGTGGGATTAGCCCAAGTGCCACCTCCAGAAACACTACCAGGATCTGGAAAAGGATCGTGGAGTATATCCCTGAATCCGGCAGGCCAGTTCTAGTCAAAGGCTAGCTGATTCATTTGCTTCATGGCCTTGTAGGCTTCCATCTTAGACACTGGTCCTGTTTCTGTGCTAAAATACCTGGACAAGAAAGCAGTTTAAAGCCAGGCGGTGGTGGTGTACGTTTTTAATCCCAGCACTCGGGAGGCAGAGGCAGGCAGATCTCTGTGAGTTCGAGGCCAGCCTGGTTTACAAGGGGTAGTTCCAGGACAGGCACCAAAGCTGCATAGCTAATAATAATAATAATAATAATAATAATAATAATAATAATAATGAAAGCAGCTTAAAGGGGGAAGGGCTTATTCTTATTCTGGCTTCTAGTTCAAGGGTAAAGACTGTCAGGGAGGCAAAGTCAAGGCAGTGGGAGCTTGGGACAATGCATGATGTCACATTCACAGCTGGGAACAGAAAGCTGTGAGTTCTAGTACTCAGTTTCCAGTCTGCATGTTATGTAGTCCCATGTTCTCACAGGGAATGGTTCAGTCTGCATGTATGCAGTCCCATGTTCTCACAGGGAATGGTTCAGTCTGCATGTATGCAGTCCCATGTTCCCCATGTTCTCACAGGGAATGGTCCCGTTTGCATGTTATAAGTCCCATGTCCTCACAGGGAATGGTTCAGTCTGCATGATATGTAGTCCCGTGTTCTCAAAGGGAATGGTCCCATCTACATGTTATGTAGTCCTGTGTCCTCACAGGGAATGGTTCCGTCTGCATGTATGCAGTGCCGTGTTCTCACAGGGAATGGTCCCATCTGCATGTTATGTAGTCCTGTGTCCTCACAGGGAATGGTCCCGTCTGCATGTATGCAGTCCCGTGTTCTCACAGGGAATGGTCCCATCTGCATGTATGCAGTCCCATGTTCTCACAGGGAATGTCCCCACCACTGTTTGTTTCTCCTCGTGTCTTTCACATCATGCATCTCCATCCCATTCCTTTCCCCATCCCTTCATAGCCATCCTCTGCTCTTGCAACCTTCCCCCACAAATAAAATTTAAGAGAAAAAGAAAAAAAGAGAGAGAAGGAAAAAAACCAATCTCATCCTGAAGCTGCCGTGTGGCACAGTGAGTCACGCAGTAAACCCTTTTATCTAAATATCTTTGCTTGCAAGGGTTCATTGCAGGGAGTCATCGGTTTGGCACGAGGCCTCCGGTTTCTGCTACGCTATGGGCTCTCACTGGGGTTCCTCTTGGAGCACCTGCTGTGGCCCTGTATGGTGGAAATGCTGCAGGACCGGTCCCTTCACTGCCTCACAGATCACTGATGGGGTGGATGTTGGGTCCCACCGTTGTTAAGAAAAGCTTTCTCAATCAATCTAATGAAGACAATCCCGCATAGACATCCCAGAGGCCCACCTCCAGGGTAATTTTAAATCCTGTCATGCTAACAAGTCATGCTAAACATCACCACCTTCAGACTAATCGGGAGCAAGATGGTATCTGGATATCCATGTTAATCCTGCATTTTTAATCTGTTTTCTTAAATATGTTTATTACCCATAGGCATCATACACTACCATTCCCACAGATCTCAAGTATCTGCCTCAAGTCACTGTGTTCCCACAGCACTGATCTTCCTAAGATATTTCCCTAGGTCACTATGAGGGAAGTTGTTGGCAACTGAATGTCTATTACCTTGTACCAGACAGACACTGATCACGTTCATGACGATCCAGATGCAGACAGACACTGTTCACGTCCATGCCAACCCAGATGCAGACAGACATTGTTCATTTCCATGCCAACCCAGATGCAGACAGACACTTTTCACATTCATGACGATCCAGATGCAGGTAGATGAACATGGCTCATGTTCAAGCCAACCCAGATGAAGAAGCCTCATCTGCCAGACTGGCACATGAGTCAATCCCAAACTTGAGTTTTATCCATTTTCTCAGTCTGTTCTCAGTATCACTTGTGATAATTTGGTTTCCCTGAGATTTGGACGAGAGACTTGTTAAAGCAATTCTCGTGAGGACAGAAAAGAGAACCAGCACTGGTGGATGGAGCCCAGGCGCTGGAGAGATGGTTCAGCGGTTGAGAGGGCTTTGCTGCTCATTCACAGGCTCAGAGCTTTGAGTCCAGTGTCCCTGTCAAGAAGCTTGAACCACTTATGACTGTAGCTCAGGGGATCTGATGTCCTCTTTCTGCCCCTGTGGGTGAGCACAAATGTGTACTTACCCACACACTGACACACACACACACACACACACACACGAAATAAAAACTTTAAGATTCTAGAGGCCACAGGAGTGACCAAACTGTAAACTCACGTCAGATTGTTTTGTTTAACAGTTTCCTCTGGAGCTGGAGTGATTGAAACAGGAAAGCTCCATAAGCAGGAAGGTCAACAACTCAAATAGCTTCAGGAAATCCCTGAAACTGACCAGATTCAGTAAGTCCCTCCATGCCAGAGTAAGCAATACAAGTTGAGAGTTTCTCTCTGTAACAAATCTTTCTTTTTCCTGTCAGCCGGCTCCCAAATAATGAAACAGAGACTAATTATGAAAGCTTGGCCTTTAGCGGGGGCTTGCTTTTAACCCTTATAACTTAAATTAACCCATATTTTTATTAATCTATGTTCTCCCACGTGGCATTTACCTTTATCCCATTCTGCGTAACCGACTCGTTCCGCATCTCTCTCTTGCCATCTCTCACTTCCTCTCTCCCTGCCAGAAAGTCCCACCTCTACCCCCTGCCTAGCTATTGGTCATCCAGCTCTTCATTAAACCAATCATAGCAATATGTCTTCACACAGTATACAAACA